GCACTTTTGCAAAAGGAGAAGACTCAGCAAACTGCTCCTCTGAGCCTTTCACTGAGCGTTCCACCCTCTCTCAGCTAAAGCTGGCCTTTTATTTTGGAAAAGGAAAGAACAAAAGAGATGAACAGAAAGGACAATGCAAGCTTTGTCTATGCACAGGTCATCTCTTTCTTTCCCTTGCGAAAGATTTCTCTCAAGGCTGGAGGGAGTAATCAGTTATCTTGCAGCAGAGACATTCTGAGAGTGGATCAAAAAGTCTTCAACGCAGCAGTCAAAAGTCTTAACAGACAAAAAAAATCAAACACTTCTAAATGAAAATCACATTAGTCTATGTGATATTATAAATGTAAAAATCATAACACAAGAATCTAACAGTTACCATCATATTCATTTAAAATATTCTGTCCACCTGATTTAGCCTGAAGAGCATTTTTCACCACCTGCAAGATAAAGCATAAAAAAGTCAGAAATAATTACCATGAACACAACTCAGACATTAAAACCCTTTAAAGCCTGACCCATCAAAATAGTCAGAAAATTCTAATTTTTTAGAACTAGGATCTTCATGAAGCCTTGAAACAAAATCTAAAACACTTTATATTATAGAAATTAGTCAGCTTACAGAAACATTATTCTGGACAGCATTAAAAGTCGTGCCAACCTCAAGAAATGTGTTGAAGTCATCAAAACATGCTTCAGTCACCAACATGACATACTCATGAAGAAAAAAAATACAAAAGGCAGCAAAATAATATCAACTCAAATGGCCTTCAGATTTTTTTGACAGTTTTAAGGAAACTAAGACTCATGTTGTTGAATTAGACTAAATTGTTGAATTAACTGGAAATCTAACACTTTTGAATTTGCTGTGAGCACTTTTAAATCTCACTACCGGGATGTTTTCCATTGTTGTAGTAACAGGTTTACGTCAGTCTGCCTTTCCCCCATCAATACGCTCCCCGATATCTCCGCACCGTAGAGGGTAAAAAAAATAAAATGACGTGCACGTTGCACAAAACTCAGTAAGAGGAAAACCGGGACATAAAACGGAGCAACGAACTAGATGTGAATCAGGATATGAAAACAGAGAATCCGACACTGAACAGTGAAAAATCAAGAGCTTATGTAAGGGCAGATGAGGTGAAACGCGATGAGGCAGAGCAGCAGGTGAATGGCATGACGAGTGAAGATGGTGAGCGTCAATATAAAGGAGAAGCAAACTAATAACAGGAGAGAAACTAAAAAGATAAACCAAGAAACGACAGTACTAATCAAAGGAAACTATGGAAATGCATAAAGAACAAACTAAGAAACTAAATGCAGAATAAACTGGTATGGCAAGGCATTTCAAGCAATAATTAGTAAAGGGGACTGTATGGCAAGAACAAACGACACTATAGATAAGATAATATTATGCCATGGGTTTGTTGGGACCACATCTAGTACCAAGAAGAAATGCATCTTACAGACTATAGCAGTAAGAAGCTCACTTATTTATGTTTAATTATTTTATACATTTGTTTCTTCAATGTGGCGATACTAGATGAAACTCAGATTTTGTGGAACTTTAGTTTTAATAGATCGCTCAACAACGCCACCCTGGGAATATTACCTTTTATTTAAGGCGCACAGTTTCGATTATGCGAAGGATTGAAACATCTGAGACAGTTTAAAGTTTACAAAAATCATTTATTAAATTCTTTTTTTTATATATTCTTTTTAAAACCAGTTTAAGAATGAAAAACAAAGGAAGTCAAAGAAAGTAGAAGAGCTACAGTAGCTGTTACCGGCCGAAGGGGGCGCTATGGGGACGATATCCAAACACAGCAAGCCACAAAAAAAAAAAAACAAAAAAAACTTTAAACACCAGACGCAGTGAGAAAACCCAAACTCAAGAATCACAGCACGCAGAAGAGGAAGACACCGTCACCACACCAACACCGGACCTCAGCAACTGCAAACAAACAAAAACAGTTAACCAATATAACAACCTTAAACCTAATAAAGGAAAACATCAGCCCGACTAAAGAACAAAAAGGGCTGTAAAAAAAAAAAAAACAAGATAGAAATTAACAATAGACAATACAAGTTAAAACATCAGGACCAGGCGTGGCCCTCTTGCCACGCCACAGCAGGAGGTGGAATGGGCGCCGATGCCACACCCCAAACACCCTTCAATGAAGGCGGATGACGCCGCAGTACAACTTTAAAACGATTGTGTAGAAATCCGGGAGATGAAAGCAAACAGACAGAGATCCGGGAGACCAATGCAGACAGAGCAGAGCAGCAATGGTCCAACTGTGGGGGACCTGCGAAAATTAATTAGTCACCATTTTAAATAAAACTGGAACAAACTGGAGTTTAGATGAAGAGAAGGAGCGCACCGCAGTGGCGTTTTACCTACGATCACACTTCAATTTAGATTTTCTGACCAAGATCAGCTAAAGTACAGGGAGAGAGAACACCTACCACCAGGATATCAGCGCAACATGCACCAGCCGGCGATTGGCTGCTTTTCGCTGCCAGAGCCCACAGGACGCGAACCACACAGTGGGAGAACAAAGAGACACATCCTGATTGAACGCAGCAGCTCCTTATATACACCACGCCCACCTTAAGAACCGGAACTTCTCACCTGGAAACTATTTGTGTGGAATTATGTATATTTCTATACCACTACATTCATATTATTTTTTTATGTCAGTTTTAATGTCATGGTGCTGCTAAGTGATTCCATGACACTTTCAATTTGACTCATTGGGACTGGATTAAGAACCAGCTTTGCTCTTTGTAATTTCTGTCCAGTAAATCTATAAATCAATAGACAGGTCTATTGAAAAATATCATCCATGTTTCTGTCTCATATTTGTATGACATTAAAAGGATGTCTAATTTTTGTTAATATTAATCATAAAATAATATTCAGTGCAAGTAGCTTACATTTTCTTTGATGGGGGTAGGGGGGTCGATAAGGGACCTGATACGTGGTCCATCATTGAGGCCCAAAAAAGGTTGAGAAACGCTGCACCAGATGATCAAAGCTGGTAGAGACAAACTCTGGAAGACTTGAAGCAAAAGATGGATCCACAAAGTGTTGACTCATGGGGCCTGAATACTTTTTCTCACCACACTTTTCAGTTTTTTATTTGTAAAAACTATTTTGAATCATGTATAATTTTCTTTTTACTTAATTGTATACTACTTTGTGTTGGTCTTTCACATTAAATTGCAATAAAATATATTTATGTTTAGTTATAATGTGACAAAATATGGAAAAGTTCAAGGGATATGAATACTTTTGTAAGCCACTGGATGTCAAATGTTCCTCATGAATAGTTCTTCAGGGTTTATGAGGGAGTTTTTAAAATATTTTTGTTAGACTTTGCTCACTGTTTTTTTTCTGTCCCATTAACTATGTGTTCTGTGTTTCATTTAGGCCAACCTGGCAGACTGGTTGTCTCACCTTGGTCTCAGCCAGTACTACCAAGTTCTTGTCCAGAATGGATATGAAAACATTGACTTTGTTTCAGACATCAGCCTTGAAGATCTGCAAGAGATTGGCATCGCTAAGCTCGGTAAACCAGTACATATACAATGCTTTGCAAAAGTATTCCTATTCCTTTAGCATTTTTCACATTTTGCCAAGTCACAACTATCAATATACTGTATAGAGTATTTCTGTGCCATGATTATTAGCCAAAAAATTCTGTTTGGGTCTCACGTGACCAGAGATTATTCCATCATTTTGCTAAGGCCTGCTAACAGACCTGATTTTATTGCTTTCAATGCCACTCTTTCATTAAGACCAGGTTTATGAAGTGCAAGACTGTCCTGCTGACAGATTCTCCTACCTGAGCTGTGGCTCTTGGCAGCTCCACCAAGGTTACCATGGGCCTCCTGGCTGCTACTCTGATTAATGCTACCTTTGGTCACCCAGTCAGTTAGGTTAAATAGTCACCTTGTGCTGCTTTTGCAGTTGTGACAAAACCTTTCCATTTTTGGAAGATGAAATGAATTGCGTTTGTGAAAGGTTCATGGTTTATATCTCAACCCAGTTTTAAATGTCCCACGACTTTTTCTTGATCTTGCCTGGTGTGTTCTTTTGTCTTCAAGAAACTATTTATTAAAGTCATCTAACAAACCACAGAGGTCTTTACAGAACAGCTACATTTTACAGAAATTAAATTACCGTACACAGAAGTAGACTACATGCCAACTAGATGACTTCTCAAATGTTTATTTAGGGGCTTAAAGTCGGCTAAACAGAATTGCACAACATGCATCAGTTTTTCTTTCACTTCATAATTACGTTCTATGAAATGTTGAACTATCACATCAAATCTTAATGAAAAACACTGGTTCTAGTTGTAACATGAAAAAGTTAATATCATTTCTAGGCACTGTAAATCTGTTCTCAACTTACAATAAAGTCTCCATCTTTTTCTGATGTCCTACAGGACATCAGAAAAAATTGATGTTGGGAGTAAAGAAACTCAAGGAACTACAAGGAGGAGGAAGTGGCTCAGAGCCTCCTCAGAGTCCCACTTCTCCTCCTTCCAGCCCAGGAGGAAGCACCTCCTCAGAGTCACGCAGGGAGGCAAGGAAACTGAGGGAGGGGGCCCCTAGCCCGCTGGCCAAAGCTCGCCCAGGTCTCACTTCTTCACAAACACCTCCCCACACACCGAACCAGACACCCCCACAAACCCCTCCACATGCCCGCACCCAGCAGGCCTCCCCTAGGGCTCGCCCAAGACCGTCCACCCAAACATCCGCTTTCGATCCATTGATACCGCTTTTGCGACTGCCATGTGAGGAGGAGGAACGACGGAGGACTCACAGCCTCATCGGCTCTGAATTGGACTCCCGATACGCCACCGTGTGCCGAAGCAGCTCCACTCATACTGCTGCACCTAATGATGTTACCGTTAACCGCAGCCAGTCATCTGTCACCCTCCGTCCCCGTCGGAAAGGCCGACCTCCTACACCACCTAAACGCTCCTGTTCTTCCATCACCGGTGGCGACGGGGACAGTGAAGGACAGGGGATGGGGCTTTTGGGTCTGCCAACCTATCGAGAGAGGCGAGCCAGTGACTGTGGCAGCTTGGGAGCAGCGTTGAGAGCTCAGGACTCTGCTGGCCTTCAGCGATCAGAGGGGGCTTCTGGGAGTGTCCGCAGTCTCGCAGCCATGTTGGAAACATCAATGGTGCCAAGAAATGTGGGAAGTGGCACCAACTTCCTACAGGTGAGTCTGTGAAAACTTGGAATTTTACACTTTCAACCTAATGCAAAAAGTTTTAGTAACAGCCTTGTGACTTTTAGGCGAGTCCTCCTCTGCTCCGTCCACAGGCTGGAGCTGGAGGTCTGGGACCATCTGAGGATGATGTTGCAAACCGGCGCAGGACCATCAGTGGACTTGAAAACCTTCCTGATGAGACTCCTGACCAGTTACCTCAACAACCTGTCAAGCGACGTCCAGAACCTCGACCTCGCTCCATTGTGGCCACCTCAGCATCTGAGATCACAGATGCAACAGCTACGCTCAGGAGGAAACCACGTCCTCCAACTACAGAATCTGAAGCCCTCACATCAACAGCTACTACTGTAATAACCATGACAACTGGCTCAGAAACAATACACAGATCACGCACAACAGAACAAACCGAATCAGTTACTCAAAGCAATAATCAATCAAATTCTCCTGAGGGGACCCAGAAAAACGTGGGCGAGGCGAAGCAGAATGGGGGTGTAGTGCTGAGGCGGAGGCCAGTGTCTGAGGCCTCTGAGAGGACGGAGGCCGGCAGCGAGACCTGTGAGTGGATGGAAGCCAGAAAGTCTCTGAAGCCACCGGTCTCACCCAAGCCTTCTACAGGCTCCCTGAGAAAGACCCAGACAGACCCACCTACTCCGACTCGAAGAGTCCCCATACCAGGACCAGATAATGCTGAGCCAGCACAGAGTCCCGGTGAGAACCCACAAATACAACTCTGTGCAAAAGTTTTAAATTGCCTCAATTTTCTTTTCAACTCTGTTGAGTTAAACCTTCATGTTATCTTTTTAAGTGGTCTTGATCAACAGTTGCCTAGCCTTTCTAAGAGTGCATTCACACCAGCTCTGTTTAGTCTGCTTTAATCAAACTTTCATTTGCCTAGAAAGTCAGATTCATTTTAGGCAGTGTGAATGTGCACTCATTCACACTGCCTAATGCAGACCAAAAAAGCGAAGCACCACCTACACAGGTAAGTCTCGGTTTGGTTGAAGTGAACTCTAGAAAGGATCAAATACATATGTGAACACCAAGCGGACCAGAGACCGCTCCAAAAGCAGGAAGTGCACATAGCACAAGGTAAACACAACTAAAACAAATGCACAAGTCTAGCGCATACTGGAAAAATGGCTCATGGTTTTTTGCAAAAGACAAAAGAGAAATCCCACAACCACTAAACTCTGGCACCACCCCATTTTTGCTTACATTTCCTGAAGAAGGAAGTATTTATGTCAATGTAAAATTGAGCTCAATGTCTTCTTCAAGGGTTTTTAAGATTTTTCCTTCAGTGATTCTTGGTGCAGCGCCCCCATAGGTGAGGGTGGGGAACAGATTGGTCAAAGGGTTTGATTAGTTTGGCACAGTGCATTGTGAATCCAAACTGCAGTAGCTGAAAATGTAGCAAATGTTGAAATTTGGTCTCTAATCAAACCAAATCTAGGTATGAAAACATCTTTCAATGTTTATCTTTTGATTTCTGTTAGTTGTTTAGTCATTTCTGTTCAGCATCCAACAGGTAAGTAATGAGATTTCACAGAAATTTTTATTGTCAAAGTTAAGTTGGTCTTAACTTTGACAAGCTGACTCATTACTGTCAGCTTGTTACTTCGTTTGACAAAGGAAGTCTTAGATATCATTTGCCCCAGGTGTGAAAGTGAGCGCTAGCAGTTTGACAGCCTAAATATGAAAATACTATGTCACGCTCTACACACATTGGATCTGTGGAGTATCTCGAGACTATGTACGATAATATCAGTAGAGGTACAAAGTCATCTTAAAATGATGCTGCCCTCTTTTGCAATAACAGAGAACAAAAGATTGTTATATGCATAAAAGACTAGACAAACTGATGACAAAGATATTTTTTCTTGTTTTGGGTATATTATATTCTACATTGAATATATCGAATATATGAATGTTAAAGATATAATATTGATGTTCTTTAGATACCAAAACAACATTTGTTCATTTGAATGATTCGTTATCAATTTGAGGTCTGTCTTATTTAGAAGGACAGTCTTCAGGGTCACAAAGGAACTTTTCCATCTATGCTGTTGGAATGCATTAGCTATTTATATATATATCTGATACAGATTCATGGCTGATACAAAAAGCGTGACTGAATGACCTTTGTGCTCTGTCACATGAAATTTCACCTTAAACAGCATAACTGAAAATATGTCTTTCAAAGCACATGGACTTGTTTGTGGGGGAATAAATGTTGAAAGACTTTGAGAAAGCAAGTACAACTAATGTGTAAGACCTCTTAAAAATACTTAAAACTTTGGCTGCTTGAATTGATTTAAATTGATTAAATTTGTTTTGCGTATAACAGCATTTCATCTGGCATTTTTCTGTGACCAGAGCCAAAGCGTGTCCCTCCTCCTGTATCACCAAAACCCCGTGGGCCTCCAACAGCTCCCAAACCAGGAAAAGCAGCAGTAGCTTCAGCTGCCGCGAGCCCCAGCCCTGCCTCTACCAGTCCAGCTGCTACTAGTCCCACTGTGGCCCCCAGACCCTTCTCTCCTCCGGCTGCTGCTCCACTCCCAGCTCCTGACACCCCTTCTGCTCCCTCTCTTTCTCCGGGACTCCCTCTCACATCCACCTCTCCGGCCCAGAGTCCTTCTACTTCGTCACCACACCCAGTCAAACCTCCCCGCTCCTCCATTGCCAGCCTCTCCATTGACCTGCTGGGAGGACGGGAGGCAGAGGAGGAAGAGGAGAGAATAAGAGAGAGGGAGCATCAGAGGAAAACAGAACAGGAGGAGAAGAAGAAAAGGGCAGAGGATGAAAACTTGAAGGAGATGGAAAGGAGGCCTTTGAGGAGAGAGAAAGCAAAAGAAGAGAGTCAAGAAGAAGGAGGAGAGCAAGAAGGGATGATTCAGCATCGTTTGGAGACCAGTGCCTCCTTGACTGTAGAGCATAAAATCAGAGAGGAGGACAGACCAAATGAGTGAGTATTCATAAATAAAGAACTTCAGAGGGGCGCATGTTACGTTTTAACTTTAATTGTTATATAAATTATGTGAGATGAAACCAACAGCTGTTGCAATAACATCCCTGCACACATGATGCTAACCTCACAAGGAATGTCCTACCTGTCTCAGAAGTTAGCAAATTAATCTTTTAATACTAAAGAAGATGGCAAAAAGTCCTACTAACTGTGCATTTAAGTTCATGCATTGCTGGGCCTAAAAAACTCGACCCAACCTGAGTGTGCCCTAGACCCATCCGACCCATTACTGTTTTTGTTTTTAGACCACCATTTGAGTAAACAGTGTAACTTGTCCAATTTTTAGATTTCACTTAACGTCTTCCAGCTCCATCTTCACGCTTGTTGTAGCCGCAGGGTGAGTCAAGTGGAAATCTTCTGGGACGTGTGATTGATAGGATCTTTTTTCCACTGCTGCCCAAGTGGAGCAGGGCGGCTCAGACTGAGCTTGTTCCTGTCTGATTAACTTCTGTTCCTTCCTTACTTTACTCCCTCTGCTCCTGAATTTAGACATAATCAGTAGATTAATTCAATCAAGCATTCTCATTTGGTTTTCTCTGCGCTGTATATATTGCAGGCTTATTACATGTGCCACTGAAGCCTGAGTGGGCGATCTGGATTTAAGGTTTTATCACAATATTTTGTGACAAAACTGTTACAACAATAAAAGTGACTAATAACTATATATAACTTATTTTTAGGTATTTTTAGGTATGGCTGTGAGTGTGTCACAGCAACTGGAGCCAAAAATAATGCTCTTGAAAAATATTTCCATTCGCTTCATTAGGACACCAATCACAAAAAAGTGTTTTTGTATCATGAATCTGCACAGTAACTGTACTTTCATATTTATTGATGCTTCTGTTGAAGAAACAGTGGAGAAAACAGTACAAGTAACAATCCCGGCAGTAAGAAGAATTTTGGGGAATTTTAAACATTAAGTGGAATTTATTGTGACAAGGATAAATCAAAATTGTTATAAGAAATTCATCACATTAAATGATAAATGATACGATAAATGCTACTATCAAGCCAATAATTCTGTCCCGACCCGGCCTGCATTTTGGTTTAGGTCGGTTTGGACCATAAATCTAATCTGTACTGGGTATGTATCTGTCTCATGTACGGTATAAAAGTCTTGTCATCTCTCATTGTAATTTATTTGGTTTTGGTGTACCAGCTCCGAGTTACTGCACAGACTCAGGAAGTCTTTTTATCTATCTATCCATCCTACAGTTAAAGTCTGATCACTGTAGAAAATATCTGAATGAATTTAGTATGAACATACAAGTACTGAAAAGGCTGGAAATTTTAATTTAGGAAAAAATTAAATTGTGTTGGAGCCTTATAAATTTTTCTCATCTTAATTCTGTTTCCAGCAAAAAAGCAACAGTCTCCATCCTTGATGACATCGGCAGTATGTTTGATGACTTGGCAGACCAGCTGGATGCAATGCTGGACTGATCTCCCATCCACATGCTTTTTTCCAACAACGTCCTCCCTTCTGTCCGCCTCATTGTGTGTAGGTGTACAAAGAAAAGTCTTTCCCAAGGCTAAATGCTGGCGTGCAATTTTTTTTTGTAAGAGCTTCCCGAGTATCCTCATGCAGATACCAAGTAGTGGGAGAGCTGTTTGTTGCTCCTTTTCTTGCTGCAAGGAAAATGCTCCCACACAACCTCTGACCTCTGCAGCCCACATGACGATGCCTCCACCCAGCCCCAGACGGCTACGTGGACCAAGAAGCACAATCTTTTCGTGTATCCTTTTATCTGATAAGCATATTGCTTGCAAACCTAAGCACATAAATAGTCTGACAGGCAGATTGATAACCTGATAGAAAACAGAGGGTTTTTTTAAAAAAGCACACAGAAAGAAAAGCTGCTGTCTGAGTCCTCCAGTCTGAAAAAAGAATCCCTTTTTTTCCAGATGAATTGTAGCCTCCTTCTCCTCTGTGTGAGTGGAGGACTCCTGCCCCGCGTGTCGTCTCTGTTCATGTTGTCGTTGGTGCCGTTGCCGTTATAGTTGGCTTTGTTGTTGTTTCGAGTGTGTGTAGTCCCTGCTTATACGCTTCAGCCAGTTACCTCCTTTTCCCACCCATTTTGATCAGACAAACTAAACACAGATGTGTCCATAAATTTACAAGAAATGCAAACAAGCACACACACATTCATACACACATTGGTGGGACTTCCATTATTTTCAATATTGCTACTGGTGTTGCTGTTTATATATCATGTGTGGAAGGATTGCTTGGAAATAATTCATGAGAAATACATGGAAATATGTGCGCACGCACAGACACACACACACACACACACACTCTTATGTGGTATTTCCCTGTGTGCTGCTGCAGTGAATGGTGTTTTCAGAAGATACTCCTATATTTCAATGCATTACATCGTACATACAGTAAAAAAGACACATAGTTTATAGTTGACCTGGATATTTGAGCTTAGAGCTCCATCTATTGTCGGTTAGTGAAGTTGCCCTTATCTGACCTACTTCTTTTTCCCACATCCCTTATTTGAAACCTGTCTAATTAGATAAATCTGCAAATCTCTGTGCCTTCGCAGTGTTCTTTATCTATTATTTTGTTTCTGTTTTTCTTTCTCTCTACTATAATGTTTTTGATCGCTTTAAACCCTCTTTGTCTGGTTTGTCTGGAAGTAACTTCTCAGTTATTTGTGAGTCTTGTACCCCTGAAGCTTAATCCTCCATGTCTATGAGCTGTAAGCTGTAATAAGTTGGCTCCTCTCTTCCAAGAGTTCTCTGTTTTCAGTGATTTCCCCCAGACAACAGACCAACCACCAGTTTTCATCCCTATGAAGAGTTCACTTGTATTTTTATGCTCTTTGAAAACAGAGATATATTTGAGAGACTGTTCTATGTGAATAATATTATTAATAATTATAACTATGATGATTATCATGATGGTGTTAAACACTGAATGAGCTAAGCTGATTTGAGTCTGTATATTGCTGGTTGGGTTCTGGATGTGTTGTGACAGCTGTTGTGTCATGGTTGGGTTCAGTTGGGTGTTTCTGCTGTGACGATGCATTCCTGTACAGCTGTCATAAGAATAAATGTATAAATTAAACCTGATGTCACTCTTGGAATATTTTTCTTTTTGACCTAGTACACTTTCATGTTTTTTTCCAACAGCTTTATTGTTGAAAAAACAAGTTTCATAGAATAATTTCAAATTTTGTCACATTATAATCTTAAACTCCAGTCTGTTTCACTGGGGGGTTTATGTTATTGACCGACACAAAAAGTGCCTAATTGTGATATGAAGAAAAACATTTTAATGTTCTTCATATTCTTCAACAAATAAAAGCTTAAAAAGTGTTATGCACATGATTGCCCATCCCCTGTTCTTACTCTAATACATTTAAGTAATATCCAAGTCACTTACCTAATAAATAGTCTGTATTTAAAGTAATCTCAATGTAAATAGCTTTTCTGGTAAAACAATATCCCAAGCTCACAAAAGCAGCAAATTGCAAACCTATCAAGAGAAGGCCTTCTGCCTGTGCAGGCCGGCCAGGGAGAGTATCAATCAGAGAAGCAGCCCGTGGTAACTAAGAAGGAGCCGACAACAAGTCAGGGGGGGGAACTTTTACAGAGTTTAATTGAACATATTTACATAATTCAATGTACATTTAACGTTTCAAGACAAGAAACTAATTATTTTCTTGTATTTATTT